ATTGTTTTCTCTTGAAAAAAGAAAAGTTATAGGGGATCTGTTTGAGGTGTTTAAGATTGTAAAAGTAATTGATAGTGTTGATGTATCATCTTTTTTTTTTTCATACTTACTAGTTAGAATAGTAGTACAAGAGGACACAAATATAAATTTTGGCAGGGTAGGATTCATCTTCAGCTCAGAGAGTTATATTTTTTCTAACAAGGTGGTTGGCCTTTGGAACGGGTTGCCTTTGGACGTTCTGGAGGCAGTAAAATTAATTAAGCGAGTTTAAGAGAGAGCTAGATAACTATATGAATGATAAGCTGGCTTTATTTAACAGTTTGAGTTTAGTTTAGAGAATGGGACAGCCTAGATGGACCAATACGTCCCTTGTTGTCCCTAAACATTATGTTATGTTGATAATTATTGGTTTTCTGCTATTTATAAGTCAGGTTATTTAAGTCTGTACAAAACTTAAGATATCCCATTGAACGACAGTGTAACTTAAGAGTGACTTAAACTCTGAGATAAATTAGTATTACACATATCACTGTTCAAGTAAAGAATTGGGTAGTAGGATAGTACAGATTGTATGTCAAAAACCTAATAATGTTTATGATGATAAAAAATAATCATTTAAATGAATAACAACATCATGAATTAATAGTAAAAATGTCAATACTTCAAAGAAAATAACTAAGTGAATTGTGATAAACACAAAAACAATTTTTTAAAAGTATTATAAGTGTTTAACACAACCAATTCAGCTTTATCCCCTACACAAATAGTCAATTCACTGAGTAGACAGCCAGAGTAGTAAGTTCAACACGAAGAATTAGCCGAAATGTATGAGTGATTACAGATTAAGTGCAAGATCACATTAACAATAATACTTAAAAAAGAATAAAAATAGTGATAAATATGAGAATCACAGTAATTAACAAAAGTCAATGTAACTAAACTAAAGATGTAATATAAGAACTGTTATACAGTTCGAATTAACTATAGTGAGAGATAAAATAAACAGTTGTTCATTATTACCGAAAAACTTTCGTTAAGAAAGTAAGATGTAGGTTAGATAGTTTTGAAAATGTCGTGATATTCTTTAAAATTATGAATCCTACAACTGGTAACAAGATGTTTGTTCAATTTATTATTCTGTAAAATTATGAATCCTACAAGTGATAACAAGATGTTTGTTCAATTTATTATTCTGTAAAGTTATGAATCCTACAACTGGTAACAAGATGTTTGTTCAATTTATTATTCTGTAAAATTATGAATCCTATAACTGGTAACAAGATGTTTGTTCAATTTATTATTCTGTAAAATTATGAATCCTACAACTGGTAACAAGATGTTTGCTCAATTGATTACAAAAATGAATAAATATGGTGTTCAAATTGTGGTAGGAGATGCTTCGTTTTTTAAAAATATGAGTTTATGTAGCATAATTTATGTGGAATATTTGTATTCGTAAATGAAAATTTTATAATGTAAAAGTAAACAAATGTTTTTAATGATATCATCAATGTATCTACAAGTGTGACTGACGTGTAAGACTTTCCTGTGGTCTTTTTTTTTTTTAAACTAAGATTTGTTATAAATACAATTGAATAAATTACCAACTACAGGTCTTGTGAAAAAGACATTTGCCGGATTATACAAATGTAATGACAAGAAAAACAAACACGGAATGTAAGAATTTGTTGACTGTGAAGCATTCATAATTTTTATCATTAACTTTACAGAAATATCTATGTTTACTAACACAAGGCATTAAGTTATCAGAACTCATAAAACATATTGAAATTGCTGAAGAAAGACTTTTTAATTTTACCAGTAGGAAGATGGTGTAAAGATTATTAAAATCAAACATTTAAATTATTTTTGCCTCAAAGGCTTTAATTTTCATTTTACATTCAAACTGACATGGCGATTAGGGCGCTCGACTCGCAATGTACGGGTCGTGGAATCGAAAGCCGGCACCGAACATGCTCGCAAATTCAGTCTCGGGGATGTTGTTATATTACAGTCAATCCCTCTATCTGTTGGCAAAGTGCAGCCTAAGAGTTGACGATGGGTGACGCTGGCCAATTTCCTCATTTGTAGTCGGCAGTTCAAAATTAAGGACTTTACCTTAAGCAGAAACTTTGAATTCAGTGAAATTAATGACGAATGGATTAATATGTGTTCTTTCTCGGATAATATATAGAATATTGAATGATTGACTAACGACCACCGTTACAAGCTAGTATTAGCACCGATCATGGCTTATGATTAACGTGCTGGGCTAGGTATCGAGACATTCCGAGGTTCAAACCGTACGGCTCCACACTTTTAGTTGTAAGGGAATTATAATTGTGACAGTAAATACATTTATTTGATTAAGGTTATCCACATAATATACAGCGACTATTGCTGTTTGGTTGCCTTCTCTCTGGTCAGCAGTTCAAAATAACGGATGTGTAACTTTGAACCTTAGGGCCTGGATGTTTAGACCAGGTGTTGCACACAGTAGTGTTTGGATTAAAAACAAATAAAAAAAAAACATTAAAAAAATACCAATCAGATTCACACTGTTTTTTTTTACTTATTTTGCTTCTAGACTAAGCAAAAAAGCGCTGGTTGTAACCCCTGTAACAGGCCCATAGAACTGCTACAGAGTTAGATATTGTAAAACCTCTTCTGTTATACATCCAGTATTTTTCAGATATACGATACAATTTCGTATTTAAATGGCAGTGTTGTGAGAGCTGTTATCAGTGATTTTAAAACAGTAATAATAAGATTTTTTGTGAATTTTAAAAAGTAATTTTGATTTGTGTTGTAGCATCATAAAAGTCAAAACTAAAATCTGACGTTTATTTCTGATAGTTAGTAGCCATACAAAAGATCCACACAACAAGAAGACTCAGACTCGCGATGCACGATATTTACTTCTTCAAAATTCTACTAGCCAAAACATAACTTTGGAATTGTACATTTGAAAATTATAACATTGTGAAATATATAAGGAGAGGAGAGAGAGAGAGAGACCAGCATTAAAATAAAAAACAATTGATGTATTTAACTTCTCCAAAGGTGATCCTTTTAATTAAACTTTTTAAATGTTCGTGATACCTTACACAATTTTCTGCTTTTCCAGTTCGATACAACTAAAAGTAGAAAAATTTGATTTCCCTTAAATAATATTGATTGTATTAATATCACTCATACAAAAGTGCTCAGTTAACATAAGTCTTAAAACTACTTACAGGCATTCTTAACTTATAGCAAACTTACAATGCTAACTATAGTAGAATCAGTCTAGCTTCTAAAAGTTGAAACTAACCTTGGATAGAAAACACATTTGTGATAGTTAAACTCTGTTAGATTAAATACTAGACCATGGCAATAACCTATAAATGATACATAAATCAGCATTATTCATAAATAAAACTCACATATAATTCTCACACGTGTATATATATATATGCGTACTAAAATAGTTTCATGTTATATTTTAACCTTATTTGTTATTTCAATTACTTATTGCTTATATCGAATAGGCTAAGTTTAACTCACCACATGCTATGTGAAAAAGGAATGTCTACCCTCTTGTTATTTTGTTCTCAAAAAGTGTTGTTGCTTTGTTTATGTGTGTTTGCAAATCAAAAACAAATTCATTAAAATATGATTATTAACTCGTTATTCGGTTGCATGTATATGATGACTAAATACTTTCAATGTTTCATCCTTAGTTTACTTACGAGTTACACGCTAATATTGATAAGTCCTGACAAACTTTGTGTATATTTGTTTTTGTACAATACTTTATTTACTTATAACACCAAATTTCTGATAAAATTCAACTGTTGTATTTAACGTTGTACCTCTGAAAAAATTAATATAAAACTAAAGGTTTTGATGGCATCTGCTCTCCAAGGTTGCAGTCTGTTTAATCCCATTTTTACAAAAGTTTTAAAACATAATAATTCGATCTAATAAAAGGTGCAATGGGAGTGAGGGTTAACTTTTAAATATTCTTCAAAATTTATAGTTCACACTGCAGGGATTTTCACTAACCTTTTGAATATCCTACCAAAGAACTAAAAGGATGTGCTTGGAAACTTTTGCTACCACTGACTCACAATAAAGATGGCTAATATATCGTGTGGCTGACGTCATTATGGAAACAACTGATGGCTAAAACCTGTAATTGGCATCCTACATACAGTGGCAATATACACAGCACGTGGTGGTTCAACCAGGTGCTTCTCCTACGTCGCATCACGTGCAGTCAAGTGTGTCCATAAGGCACGTAAACGCATATCCACCCACACAAGTATTCACTGTATACCTGATGGTCATTTGGCCATCCTTCTTGGTAAAGGTGGATCATCTGTCCGGTAGTAATTAAATCACGACGCGTGGCGCGTGTCACGCTTGACTTGAGAACCCCAGACTGACGTTCCGGTGTAAATGTGTAAAATGTTTGTGGCTATGTATGAGTCCTGATTAATCAGACTAAATAAAGTTACAAAGTTCAATATGGGCCTTATATTCAAAAATATGAAAAATTTATTACTGTGAATTAGAAACAACTTAGCGGTTTTCTGCTTGTAAGTACCTGAGGTGTATTCTGCTGGTTATTAGTTTCGTAAACCATTTTCGATACACATTAGTTTAATGGTATATATATATATATATATATATATATATATTGTAATTACAAACTATATGTTATATAGCTGTAACTTAAATCCTTAGTGTACATTTTCCATGGAGCCTACTTTCCTATACACAGATCGAGTAGGTTATATTAAAACGACTTCTGAGCCTCAACATATCGTTACGGTCCAAGTTGTCACATTGAGTCATGCTGTATATAACGGCCATGCATCTTGACAATAGTCCTGCAGCGTAGTTTGTATTGCAAAAAGCTCGTTGTAAGCGATTCCGTCCAAAGTACACATTCCTCCTGCAGGTTTTCCATAATCTATCTATTGTATGAGGACAATGGTTTCCCAGTGTCCGTTTCAACGATCCGATCGCACAGGAGTCTATAGGCGATGCGTCCGGCGATTTTACCGGAATGTCCTTGTATAGAACAGCGTGAATATTTGTTTTATTCTACAATTTCTTAAGATAGGCGATGGTTGAACAGATTCTTTAATTGTTCTCTTTTAGCACAAAGTTACGCAATGAGCTATTTGCGCTATGTAAATTGCGAAGAATCGAGCCTCGAATTTTACCATTGTAAGTACGGATACTGATTTACTCTTGGCCCACAGAAGAACAGTTGAATGGATATGTCGTGAAAGCAGCTTTTGCCACCTTTCTAGAGGGAGAGCCTTTTTTATTATATTGTGTGCTCTTTTCTGAGGTACGTAGACAGCTTTTGTCCCTTAACTTTGTACGACTTTTTGCAGGTCTCTTTCTGGATATTCCTGATTCACCAAGTTGATCCATATTCCTTTGTTTTCCAATGCCATTAAGTACAAGGGATATTCCCGTCTTAAACATTCTAAATTCCCAATCTGAATACATCTTTATTATCTAAGTGTATACATATTTTGCATAGTAAAGAACTGTTACATACCCTACTTTAGAGCAATGGATTTTCGGTGGCATCACACTACCTACGAATCGTTAATAAATGTCAAAATGTAGTTCTTATGTGTGTCGTTCTATTGCGACTTTATACTGGCAATGTTTGTCACATGTCTTTCTGATTTATATATTTAAAATCGTTTAGTATAACTTGCTCAACCGTTTGTCATCATGGAAACACGTTATAGTTTACTGACTTTGTTGGAACATATATAGGGAGAGTTCTCTCCAAAACCGAGATTTTTAACAAGGACCAGTAATCCTAACGCTACAAAAACACGACATTTTCTAGTTGTTTGACTTTATTATAAATAAATTCAAGGTATTATATGGTCAAGAGAAAATTATTTTGCTACATTAACATATTTATTTATTGTTTTATATTCGCCAGTCATATTCAGAAGTGACAAGTCATAACATGGTATCCAGACGTATTATAAGCATTGGTAAGTAAATTTGACATATTGTAAGAAAGTACTGTCGGTCAATTTAGCAAGATGAAATAAACGTTTGGGTTTCATTTGAGTAATACATTCAGACTAGCCTAGTCTAAATAAGCTGTTACTTTTATACACGTTTGAGTGGATTCAAACTAGCATAATCTAAACAAACAGCTTAAGTTTAAATAATTCTAAGATATACTTATATAAATTGTCTGGTCTAAACCAGCTGTATACTTGAATAAATCTAAAACTTTGAATTATTTGGACTATTTTGGTCTAAAAAGCTATTCAGTGTAATATAAGTTAAAGTAAATCTAAACAGATCTGTTTACGTTTACACAAGTCTGAAGTGCACCTATATACATTTGTTTCATCTATAGAACACCCAAACTAGTTTCGTTTAGAAATCTGCTCAGTTTAATATAAGTCTAAGGTACGTGTAGACTAGTTTGCTTTAAACGGCATTTTACGTTTTAATGAGTATGAAATACGCCTAGATTAATCTAATCAGTTGTTTAGTTTTATGTAAGGTTGAAGTACATCCAGACTAGTCTTCTCAAAATAAGCTGTTTACTTTTATGAGTCTGAAGTACGTCTGTATTAACACGATCTAAGAAAACTGTTCAGTGTAATATAAATTTGAGGTACACTCATATTAGACTAAGTCCAAACAAAACGTTTATTTCTATAAAATTTTAAGGTAAAGCCAAATTAATTTGGTCTAAACACACCGTTTACTTTTATAAAGTATGAAGTAAAACCAGAATAACTTGGTCTAAACAAGCCGTTGACTTTAAATAATCATAGTTAGTAATTTCAGTTTCTTGCTGTTGATTTTTTGTTAAGCGAAAAGCTATACAATGCGGTATCTTTTTCTTCTAAACGTTAATATATTTTAAACATTGCAATTACATTTATCATGTAAGCATTTAATTGGTATTATCATTAAGAAAATGCCACTGATTAAGATTTCGGTTGTGTGAATAGACTATACAATCCTGCGATAGTTTTATTGTCTTCACATCTTTACATGCTCTACAGTAATTATTGTACACTGAATCCGAAAATGATATCCATTTTTCTTCCTAACGTACACATTTGTCACAAAACGTTATAACGCAATACATAACAGAAAAACCAAAACACGTAGTTTTGAGACTAAAAGACGTAGATTTCACACAAAATCAGCATGAATGAGGATGCATATTAGTTTGATATCGATGTTCTACCATTTTCTTCAGTTTGTTTGTATTTTTGTTAACGAACGTAATAATAAGAAATGTTCATTGTAGTAAACGAAATAATAATTTGATCTAAGTGAGAGGGTTTTTTTTCTTCCCGATTTTTAAAAAATTCTTACGTGATAGAAAAAAATGAATATTATTTTCGAAATCTGCGAAGCTGAATTATGGAAAATCCGTTATTAAAACCAAAACAACTTACACGAAGTTTAAATTCGCAGGCCTGTGCTATCATTACCTCTTATAGTTATATATTTAAAACTTCCATATGCTTTTAACGTTTATGCTTATTTTCTAGGAAGAAGTCTTGACGTTCGCGAAACATTTTAAGTTAAAAAATTATTAACCATTACTAGAGACAACTTAAAGCTGCTGGCACTGTGTGCTCGGAAAGGAAAAGGAAGAAAGTCGAAATCAAATCTCTGGTGTTTCCCATAGATAGACACTATATTACAGTCATCAAATAATGTTATTCAAACAGAAATACCATCACAGCAGTCAGCACATTTTTTATACTTTGTTTAAACTCCAATTTATAAAACATACATAATGTGTATAGTATTTACCGCTGTGTATTATAAGTGGTTATGTCGTTTTCTTTGTATACACAATAAACATCGCTAACCCGCACTGAATATTCTGATAATTTAAACACTAAGTATTGATCTATGTTACACTACAGTTTCTTTGATATATATTACACTGCAGTTCCTTTTATATATATTACACTGCAGTTCCTTTGATATATATTATACTACAGTTCCTTTTATATATATTACACTACAGTTCCTTTTATATGTAATACACTGCAGAACCTTTAAAGTGATCCTTTCGATTGAGAAATTTTATTTTAAAAGATTTTACTTACTTGATGTTCCAGAAGGTTTTGATGTCACAGATGAAGTCATTATTTAGAAAAATGTTCGTAAAATCTAAAGATTTATAAAATCAATCTGAACTTCACAACATGCGACACAACAGCGCATAAATAAACTGCTGAGAAAAAATAGAACTCGATAATGAATAATAGAACAAGACAAACGTTTTGGGTGCTTTCTCTTTGATGGACAGAGGTAAAATAGTAAGCTGGCCGTGATTTCACGATCAATGGTCTGGTTGAGTGACCTCGGAGAGAAAACTCTGATGGAGGACTTATCAATAAGCAGATGCACTACCAGGTTAACGAAAGAGGGTCTGCTCGTGCCAGAACCACACCACAAAGCCTTTCATTGGCTAGATCAGGACAATGGAGAGCTAACGCACTGAAAGTTGTGGCCTGTCCATCATAGTTCCGTGGTTTAACAATGAATATCATATAAGTTTGTTGGCATTCTTGTAATTTATGCAGGCTATTTGTTACAATGAGTGTGAGAAATCAACACCAGTATAATTCAGCTTATAACAGTTGCGATTTATCAGTCTTAAAGATTCTATACCTACTTTATTTTTCACTAGATATGGTCATATAGAAACTCTAAAAAGAGCTATTTTCCTCAGTTAAGTTTCTCCATACAACGCAAATATGAGTGCCTCTGACCAAATATGGGAGACTCTGACTATAACTATAGTATAACTCCAAGTAACCCAAAAACAAGAAAAACGGGCAATCTCTAATGAAGAACAAATCGTTAAAAAAAGAATGTTAAGACTCTAATGACTTACCCTAGCTTTGACTATAATGAGACGGTATACGATACTTTTCATTGCTAGCAGAAGTGAAGTAATACATTATACTGATCACCTGACTGAAAATAAAATATATAACATATTCGCATGACTCAAGAGTCTTGCCACCTGTAAGTATATACTCACGAGCCACAAAATGCTAGTCATCTCTGACTATACGATTCAAAGCAATGCTTAGCTCTGACTACAGTTATATAATCCAGACTTCTAGTTTTCTCCGACTATATGATCCACACTCTCCCCCAATGGGACAACGGCAAGTTTACTCACGTACAAAGCTAAGATCCGGAGTTCGATTTCCCGCGGTGGACACAGAAGATAGCCTAATGTGACTTTGCTCTAAAACAAACAAACAAATTGATCCATATTACCTAAGATACTAAATATACCTCAGACTATATCCATATGACTCAAGATATTAGCAATCTCTGATTAAGGTCACATGATCCAGATACCTAGGATACTAAATATACCTCAGACTATATCCGTATGACTCAAGATATTAGCAATCTCTGATTAAAGTCACATGGTCCAGATACCTAGGATACTAAATATACCTCAGACTATATCCGTATAACTCAAATATTAGCAATCTCTGATTAAGGTCACATGGTCCAGATACCTAGGATACTAAATATACCTCGGACTATATCCATATGACTCAATATATTAGCAATCTCTGATTAAGGTCACATTGTCCAGATACCTAGGATACTAAATATATCTCGAACTATATCCATATGACTCAATATATTAGCAATCTCTGATTAAGGTCACATGATCCAGATACCTAGAATACTAAATATACCTCAGACTATATCCGTATGACTCAAATATTAGCAATCTCTGATTAAGGTCACATGATCCAGAAACCTAGTTTTCTCTGATTATAGAATTGCTTGTCCCAAAATACTAGTAATTATTGGCCACTCTAGAACAAGATATGCAACTTGTAATTTTAGGAGTATAATAACCAAATACCCATGATTCAAGTTACTAGTTACAGCTGATTGTAATGACTTGGCTACAGGTCAATTTTGTAACGGCTATTATAAAGGTTGTCAGTGCTGATTACAATCTCACAGTTCATACTGCAAAGGCTTATGTATAAAGTTATATATATATATATAATGTTTTTAGTTTCTTGTAATTAAGCTTGTATTGCTCTTGTATTACAGATTGAAGATAAAGACGTATTTCTGAACTCATAGTTTTACATTGGGTGATTGATTTAAGCCTATGTTGTCTTACGTAGGATGTCAGGGAGGGTGCAAGGGTAAATTATTATTCGTTTACTTATATAACTGTCTGTCTTCTCAACTTTTTCATCACATCTTTTCTAGTTTTTAGTTAAATGCGTCCAGTTAAGTGAAAGATGGATTAATTATATTTCTAAATTTAGTTACCATCTTTTTCTATGAGCAATTTTATGTGACTTAAAAGTAAAAAATATACGAACGATTTCTGGGTTTATACTGTATACTATCGAAAGCCTATAAAAATCAAGTGTTGCCAATTCTGCAAATCGAAAAATTGCAGTTTCATAAGAAAATATTGGTTCATTGTTTTCTGTTATTTTTTTATTGTTGTTGTTGGTTAACTAAACCATGTTTACAGCAAAGCACGAGCTAGTTTATGAAAAGTAGTATTTTGTACAGTTTGCATTTAATCTGGATTTAAACATGTTCATAAAAATTACCTTCTACATGTGAATGGTTTTAAACCATATATTTATAGCGAGACACGAGACAGTTTATGAAAACCTTGCTGTATATTATGCATCTTAAATTAGGTTTATTCTAACCCCAGTATTAATCTGTATTGAAAAGTCTGATAATGAAGTCATCAAAAATAAATAAGGATTTAAAACGCATAAGGAAGTGGTTTGATAATAATTTATTATGTTTAAATCTAAAGAAAACAGAACATATGGGAACCCAATCGAATAATTCCAAGCGAATCAAAGATTCATGAGAACTATATTTGTAAATATTTAAATACCGAGAGTAATGTAGATATTAATTCAATTTTGCAAAAATCATAAAATATTAACTATATTGAAGTAATATTTGCCTATAGATTAAATTGGAAAGAACATATTTAATTGATAGAAAAACTAAATATATTTAGCATTAAGGTTTAACTATATAAAACATTATTCATCTGAGAATGAAATGAAAAATATTTATTATGCTTAGTTTGATTCAATTCTACAATATGGTATCATCTCTAGGGAAGTAGCTATCTAACAAATTTAAATTTTAACACAATTATAAAAATATCATTTGATTCATATTATCATTATCACAGTATGACAATACTAAGTTACATGTTCAAAATTTAAATGTGCTACCGCTGCGTAAATTATGTATTTTCAGAACATTAAATACGTTCAGTAATGGTATTCAAAACTAGCAAAATACAAAATCAATATATCCATTAAGAGCTGAAGAACATAGGAATTTAAAACTTCCTGAAACTAAATATTTAGAAACATTATTTATATCAAGCATCAAAATATTATAACAATATTTCAATTGAAATAAGATCACTGTTTAGCAATTAAAAAAATACTAAGTCAGTATGAAAGAAATGGATAACTCGTATAGAGGAACCAGAAAGTTTACACATAATCTATACATAAAATAAACATATAAAATAGTTATGAGTTGAAAAATATGCATTAAAATATTATAACATGTTAAAATTGGTTTCACTTTCATAAAATTTAGCAAAGAAGATACTAATTAATTACTTTATTTATTGTTTAATAATTTACTTATTAATATCCACACTCGAATAATCTTGTGGCTCTTCTTCTTTGTATAGTTTTCATATTATTATCCTCGATTTTAATATCCACTCTCGAATAATCTTGTGGCTATTCTTCTTTGTATAGTTTTCATATTATTATCCTCTATTTTAATATCCACACTCGAATAATCTTGTGGCTCTTCTTCTTGTATAGTTTTCATATTATTATCCTCTATTTTAATATCCACACTCGAATAATCTTGTGGCTCTTCTTCTTGTATAGTTTTCATATTATTATCCTCTATTTTAATATCCACACTCGAATAATCTTGTGGCTCTTCTTCTTTGTATAGTTTTCATATTATTATCCTCTATTTTAATATCCACACTCGAATAATCTTGTGGCTCTCTTCTTTGTATAGTTTTCATATTATTATCCTCTATTTTAATATCCACTCTCGAATAATCTTGTGGCTCTTCTTCTTTGTATAGTTTTCATATTATTATCCTCTATTTTAATATCCACACTCGAATAATCTTGTGGCTCTTCTTCTTTGTATAGTTTTCATATTATTATCCTCTATTTTTGATATTGAGTGTATTGGTATTATATTTTGAATTTGAATTGTAATTATTTCTTGAATTTTAATTCAATAAAATAGATTATGATAATTATTTTATTTAGTTTAAACTGTGAATTAACACGAATTTAATCTACTTCATGCAATGTGCATAGGTTATATTAGGTTTACTCAAGGTACAAGCTAGCTTATTAAATTAACCCTAAACTTTTACCAAGCTTAAGGAAATCAGGCACGTACCGTATTTAAATGCAGTACAAGAGAGATATAAATAAATCGCTTCTTTCAATCAGAATTAAATATTCTGAGCGACTTTTAAGTCGGGTAAAAAAAAAAGAGACAGAAACTAATGACTGTGAACATGGACTAAGCTACATTTTCACTATAACAAGAGAGGGTTTGAAGTTGATACAGACATTTCTTTTCGCTGGTACGTGAAAAGGTTGTTGCTCAGGAACAAATAATTGCAGTCTTCTGTTTGGTTCGGAGTATATAGAGTTACCCTTGAAAATATGTGCCTTTGATATAATTAGGCTAAAGCAAGCGTTAAGCATGGCCTGAAAAGGGGACAAGACCAGATTATGAAGCTCTAAGCCACTAGGATCAAGAAGGCCACGAGTGGCTCTCTCCAGTTCACATCATTTGACCATAAAGCTTTTTCAAACATCTGCCCATATCAAATTTGGATTCAATGAATAGGCAGTCGCCATGCAAGGCTCAAGAATTAAATCTCTATTCTTTCTACCGATTTTCATGCGTAAACACTTTATATGCGAACTTGTTGGTGGAAATTCGACCATTGACTTTTTGTTAATATACGAGTCAAAAAGTAATTATCTTACGCAGATGTGCTTTAAATTACATTACAAAGTCTGTGAGTTTATTTA